TAATCAGCCTCGGTTTTCAAGTTCTTCATTTCCCCTTCCCTCCCCTCCCCCCTATAAATTTTTTCTCATTCGTTTTAATTTAAATAAAAAAAAAAAAAAACGACGACTTTAACGTTTTAATACTTTCGATTACAAACGAATGGGGGAAGGGAGAAAAAAAAAGGCGCGAAATGATATTTTTCAAAAAAAAAAAAAACATTTTGTAATTAATACGAAAAAAAAAAAAACTACAAACATATATTAAAGGTAAATAAATAAATAAAATAAAAAAGTAATTTAATTTAATTTCTAGCAGTAGACAAACGAATAACGCCATGAAAAAAAAAACAAAAACAAAAACAATGATTCATTGCAAAATTTTTTTTTTTTTATATACCGTTGTTATTGTTGTTTGTTGTTTTTCCTTTTTTCCTTTTTTTTCTTTCAACTTTTTCTTTAATAAAACTTGTTAATGGATTCAAAAAAAAAAAAAAAAAAAAGATTTTCATCGGAAAAAGGAAAACAAGGAAAACGAAACGAAACGAATCAAAAAAAAAAAAAAATATTTAATTAAAAAAAAAAAAAAAAAAAAAATACCGAAATGATAATTTAAATTAAATTAAATTAAATTTAATTTTTTTTTGTTTTTTTTTTTTACTTTTAATTAATAAAATTTAAATACCTGATACCTGATTATTTATTTCCTTTCTTTCTTTTATTTTTACATAGCTTTACTTAAAAATTAAAAAACGCGGACGATCAATTAATTAAAAAAAAAGGGATTTAAAAAATGAATTTACTTATTATCATTATTATTATTATTGTTTTAATTTTGTTTATGAATTAATAGTGTTATAAAAAAAACAACAACAATGAAAAAAAAATGGCGTCGAAATAAGTAAAAAATTTATTTATTAATTATTTTATTCGAAAAATTTTTTTTATCAATAAAATGTTTATAAATATTTTTAAAGGTTTTTAAAAAGGTTGTCGTCGAATTATTCGAAAAAAAAAAAATAACCGGATTAAAATTCTAAAAAGGATTTAAATAAACGTTTTTGAAAATTAATAATAATGATAATAATTTTTTTAAGGGGTTAAAAAAAAGAAAAATCGAAAAAAAAAAAATAATTTTACAGGTAAAAAACCCTGATGTTACAAGACATTAAATAAAAGTTTAAAAAAATTTTTTTTTTTTAATAGATTTTAAAATTCAATAAAAAAAAAGGTAAAAAAAAAGTTTGTACAACAGAAACTAACACAAAAAAAAAAAAATCTGCTGCTGCTGGTGCTGTTGCTGCTGTCGGTGATGTTGATGCGTTGAGGAATCAAAAAAAAAAATCGTTTTTCTTCAGTTTTACATTAAGCTAATCAAACGCAAAGAATTTCAATGAGTTTCTCTCTCTTTTTTTTTTTTTACTTCTTTTTAACCG